ATAAAATTCGGTAAAGCAGTGTTCAAGAAAATTAATTTGCAAAGTATGCCAAGTAATTTTTACGCGTAGGGTGAAAAAACATTTACCTCAAAGGTGGTTTGTCGGCGCTCGACGTCTTTCCTAGGCCTCTTCCTCCACTCAGATTGTTCTCCGACATCGTCACGGAGACAAAAATATCTTCGCACTTTCCAGACACATGATGGATTGTTCCGCGCGCCGCCTCTGTAAATAACCCTTTACGTAGTCGCGATATTCGTGTATTCCAATAAAAAGGTTATTGCGACTGTCGCTAGTGCTCGCTTTGTCGGCCGTTTGGATGGCCGCACCCGTAGCAAAACGAGCTCGTCCGGGGTAACCGGCACTGGGCATAGCGGTGGGGGCCGTGGCAATTCCAGCACGACCGGATATCCCAAACGCCCAACCCCGCCGGTCGCGGCTCCCGCGGTCGACCACGCGCGGCACACGCCGGTCTCCCCGGGCTTGCCCGCCGCGGCGGAGTCCCCGCGGCGTTCTCGGATGTCACGCGCGGCCCCTCCTCCGTCTGTGTCGTCGAGTCCGCGGAGATCATTCCCGTCTGCGTGATCTCGTCTTGGAGGGTCACGCTCTCCGTGACTATGATCCCCTCGGCCGGATATCGGGTCCGGAGGACCTGATTACCCGTATCCTCCAGGTCCACCCAGAAGGACGGGTCATTGGCGTCTATATACATCTAGATGGGCCCGTGGCGTCGGAGGAACCCCCTCCATAGCCGACGGATCGTCGGGTCCCGGATATTCGGCATCTAGGATGGCACGAAATATTGTTTGAGGTCCTGGATGTGGGTTTTGCCCGCGGCTACCCCGTCCATCGTTTCCAACTCGTAAACGACGGGCGAGAGTACCTTTCTGATGCGGAAGGGTCCTTGGAACTTTGGTGTCAGTTTCGCGGCTACATTATTCGCCGCGGACGGAAGCACATGGCTTCGACGCAATACTAACTCGGTAACGCTATATCTTTGAGGTCGCCGGCGCAAATTATAGTGCCGGGCTTGACGTTGGTTCGCCTGGTCTAAGTTCTCGCGAACCCACGCGCGTAATGACGGTATACATTTCATTCGGTTAGCCCACTCCTCGGTATCTTGGGGTTCGATTTCGGTAGCTACCCTTCCCTGGTCACGAAGCGCATAATTCTGGTCACGAAAAGCAATAACCTTGAAATTCTGAATAATCCTTCCACAAGTGAGTTTTGAAATAACCTTGAAAATCTTTAATATATTTATATAGTATCGATAAAGGTGATTATATTCTCAATGAATTATATAAATGTACACAAGGGGATGGTCAGGGATAGCCACTCTTTTATTTATTTTTAATGGCTAGGTATAACAGGGAAAGGATCTTGCTCTCATTTACTTCAACTCTTTTAAATAAGAAATATTACCGAGCCGTCTTTCTAGACGCTCTTTCAATTAATCAGGAAAATCGTAAATGAATCACGGAGCACCTCCACAAATATTAACCCCTGGAACTAAATTCGCATTTAGGGTTTCTACAACAATTCGCTTTGGCACTACCACTGACTCGGAATTCTTCGAATCGTGTCGGATTCACGCTAAAACGGAATCCTCGGACACAAAACGAATTTTTGAAGAATGGAATTCTTCGAATCGTGTCGGATTCACGCTAAAGCGGAATCCTCGGACACAAAACGAATTTTTGAAGAATGGAATTCTTCGAATCGTGTCGGATTCGCGCTAAAGCGGAATCCTGGGACACAAAACGAATTTTTAGTGAATGGATATTTAGTTCGCAAGAGCATGGACGAGAAAGTTAAAAACTAGCGAAGGTCCCTCAGAATAAAAAAAATAAAAATTAATAGGGGGAAAGGAGGTCGTCGAGCCGAAACAAAATGAAAAGAAAAGAAAACGTGTGACTTACTACTGATTGAGATCGTCGAAAGCTGGTGGATTCTCCGGTCAGATTCGCAGTCCGTATGCCGAAACCGCGCACAGATTTTACTTTGACTGGATATAGAAGTATGATGTTAACTTGGAGAATCGCGGAGAGAACTGTGCTGGTGGAGTCGGGAGCTGCCAAAGAGGCTGAGGCAGCAGGCTCCGGGTTTATATACAATTTTTCGGGGGTGGATCTTGGTCATGGGACGTGGAAGGAGATTTTGGATTTTGGTTTTTCATTGGTGGACTGTTGGGAGGTGTCAAGGAGTTGTCTTTCTCATTGGCAATCCGACCATTAAGTCGTTGTCGCCCTTTGATATTTATTTATGGGCATCATTTCCCTCAGCGACTTTCGAAAAATCCCGAGTTTCACTTTTGGGTCATATTTTGGAAATCTGGATTTCGAAACTGCCGTCTGAAAGGGCCTGATCCCATCATACATTGCCTCAAGTACGTCTTCGGGAGCACCTCTCCCAGTCATGGTACCATCAGCAGCACGCATCCCCTCAACCTTAGGGTTAAAACGCACACTTAAACTCGTCACTAGGCTGTCCACCTCCAGCCAATTTAGCTTACCGTCGAAACTTGTTTGGACATAACGAGAAAAAGCTCTGCGAAGCGACAATCTACTCCCGAGACACGATGACAGCATATTCTCCACTATGGTGTCCGCGTCATATACCATAGGAGGGTGCCCGGGATCAGGATTACCATGTCGATCTGTTCGACCCACCTGGAGGTAAGATCCACCTAACAGAACCTGACCACGATCCTGACTAGGGATGACAAACACCACACGTCGAGCAACATCATCTAAATCCACTAGTCCTGCTGTGCGTACAAAAAACTCCCTATCTGATGTCTGCCCGTCCAAACTAATCGCATAACGCTCAAAAATCCAAATACCGGAGCACCTGTGTTATTTCTCCCCTTTATTATTTCAACGGCTATCGACCAGCAACAATTAGGGCACTTTACGTTTCGAGTTTCGAAAAGTGAAACTCTGGCAATCAATTTTTTGTGGAGAGGGGACTCATGCGTTGGCTAGTCGATATCCGCTGATTTCTAAAATTGTAGTTTCCAAGGGAAGAAAAACATGTTTCTTATGGTTTTTTGAAAGAGAGAAATCGTTGAGTCCACAGGACGTAACACAAAATATAAGTAATTTTTACGCGTAGGGTGAAAAAATATTTACCTCAAAGTTGTTTTGTCGGCGCCCGACGTCTGTCGTAGGCCTCTTCCTCCACTCAGATTGTTCTCCGACATACTGACGGTCACGCAAATACGGTAATTCGCGCGATTCTACTCTCGATGAGTACCACGTTTTAGGTCCACGGGACGGGGTGTCCCATTATAATTAGGTAAATTCGTTAGCTCAATAAAAAACTGTTCACTTTATAACGACTGCGAACTCGGGCGCGGGGTCTCGCCCCGTCGTCGCCGTCGCCGGAATCGACGTGCTCCGGAGCGCGATGTTCGCTCCCAGCCACCGACCTCCGCCGGACTCCGTCCGCTCGAAATCGCGAAGCGAAACACACAAAATTAGTAGGCGCCAGGTGCGGAGAAGGCCGCACCACCTTGTTTCCCGTATCGGGCGGACTCCGGCAGAATCGGCTATCCTGGCGTGGCCGACCAGCTCAGCCACTCTAACCTTGGCAGAGGGGCGCGGTTCTTACGCGACGATAAGGCCCTTCGACATTACGGACCGAGTGACCCGGGTAAAGCGCTACGGGACGGGAAGGGTAAAAATTAAAAGGGTGAGGTAACCTCAGAGCGGCACCAACGGTGCATTTTTCATCATGGGCTACCCTTCCCCCCGATAACAATCACAGGAAGGAATACGCGGCAGAGAACCGCCGAACGACGGAGAGACGTAGGACGCATGAACGGGATGACGTAAGGACGGGAACACGTAACGAGACAGAAGAACGTAACGACACCAAGGACGGAAGGACGCGAAGAACGAAGGACGTAAAGGACGAAAGACGGAACGAGACGGAAGAACGTAACGACACCAAGGACGGAAGGACGTGAAGGACGAAAGACGTAAAGGACGAAAAGACGTAAAGGACAAAAGACGGAACGAGGGAAGCTTACGCGAAGTTTGCCGAGGGTCCGCGGCACCCGGTATATGTCTCTGTTCCGGCGCGCGACACGCAGCAGCCGCATGGGCCCGCGCGTGATCACGTGAAAGCCGCGTGCGATTCGAAGGCGCGCGACACGCGCAACGACACGACCCTACGGTACGCGACGCGAAGTAGTTGATACGCAATTAGACGGGACGCGACATGAATTACCCGTTAATTTATTGTCCTTGACGTGGGTGTGCAAAACTTTTTTTTCGGCTTCGTGCTCCTTATATATTAGGCCACGGGCGAGCGAACGTGACCATATTTTTTACCAGAGCTCTTTTTCTTTAATTTACTGTCCTTTTTGACGTGCAATACATACGCGGAATAAAATTCATGTCCAATCAGGCGATTTTTGTCTACTCTCGATGAGTACCATGTTTTAGGTCCACGGGACGGGGTGTCCCATTATGATTAGGTAGATTCGTTAGCTCAATAAAAAAACTGTTCACTTACCAACCCGATCGGCAGCAGCAGAGTTTGTATAGTTTTGTTGTTTCCGCATAAACATACAAATATAAAATTTATATTAAAGCAGTGTTTAAGAGCACTAACATTGCAACATGTACTCGTGCCGAAACCACTGTTTTCGGTGTTTCGAGACATAAGAAAACTAGGGGTTAACTCTGGTTCTGCAACGGGGTACCTAACCCTCCACAGTAAAATTCATGACTGCTCCCCTTTGATAGATGAAGTATATAAAATAAAATATGAAATTATGTTGTAATTTATCCATTTTAAGGTAACGGATCTACAGAATGTATTAATCTACGGTCTACAATCTACGATTTACAATCTACGGTCTGCGCTCTATGAGATGTAGATTCGTTTTCTCAAATTCTTACCTATGCGGCGCAACTTGAACATTATCACGGATTTGAATAGGTTTATCCACAGGTTGAACTAAGCTGTAAACAGTATTGTTTTACCTGTTTTAGGTCCACGGGACGGGGTGTCCCATTAAGATTAGATTCGTTTCCTCAATAAAGAGACTTGTCGCTCGTTGACCCGATGGGCAGCAGCTGAGTTAACTACGTTGATTCTGTAACATACAAATATAAAATTCATTAAAGCAGTGTTCAAGAAAATTAATATTGCAAAATATAAGTAATTTTTACGCGTAGGGTAAACAAATATTGCAACAGGATTTATCAGGCTCTTTCTGTCGACTAAAGTCGAACGGAAAGTCTGTATCACTAGTATCCTGCTCGGAGTTCTTTTCCTACTATGTCCCGCTAGCCCGCGATTCCGTCGTTAATCGTCCGGGGAGCGTACTGCAAATAATGGGTGGTAACTTCTCAAGTCGCCCGGTATACCCGAGCGCGGCGTTCTCGGATGTCACGCGCGGCCCCTCCTCCGTCTGTGTCGTCGAGTCCGCGGAGATCACCCCCCGTCTGCGTGATCTCGTCTTGGAGGGTCACGCTCTCCGTGACTATGACCCCCTCGGCCGGATATCGGGTCTGGAGGACCTGATTACCCGTATCCTCCAGGTCCACCCAGAAGGACGGGTCATGGGCGTCTATATACGCCCAGATGGGCCCATGGCGTCGGAGGAACCCCCTCCACAGCCGACGGATCGTCGGGTCCCGGATATTCGGCATCTAGGATGGCACGAAATATCGTTTGAGGTCCTGGATGTGGGTCTTGCCCGCGGCCACCCCGTCCATCGTTACAATATACGATCTACGTTCTATGAGATATAGATTTGTTATCTCAATAAAGAAGTTTGTCGCTCATTGACCCGATGAGCAGCAGCTGAGTTAGCTACGTTGATTCTGTAACATACAAATATGCAATAATGTTAAAGTATTTATATTTGTTAGCTGTGGTCAATAAAGCAGTGTTCAAGAAAATTAATATTGCAAAATATAAGTAATTCTTACGCGTAGGGTAAACAAACATTTACCTCAAAGGTGGTTTGTCGGCGCTCGACGTCTTTCCTAGGCCTCTTCCTCCACTCAGATTGTTCTCCGACATCGTCACGGAGACGCAAACACGGTTTTTCGTGCGATTCTACTCTCGATGAGTACCATGTTTTAGGTCGACGGGACGGGGTGTCCCATTATGATTAGGTAGATTCGTTATCTCAATAAGAAAGTTCTGACTCACCAACCCGATGCGCAGCAGCGGAGTTAACTACGTTGATTCTGTAACATACAAATATAAAATTCATTAAAGCAGTGTTCAAGGAAATCAATATTGCAAAATATAAGTAATTTTTACGTGTAGGGTAAAAAATATTTACCTCAAAGTTTTGTCGGCGCACGACGTCTTTCCTAGGCCTCTTCCTCCTCTCAGATTGTCCTCCGACATACTGACAAACACGCAAATACGGTAATTCGCGTGATTCTACTCTCGATGAGTACCATGTTTTAGGTCCACGGGACGGGGTGTCCCATTATGATTAAGTAGATAAAAAGGTAAAATGTCTAATCTATAACTTCAATTCTAAAATTTTTGATGATATCAGAGAATGAAAAAATTACTGAATAAAAATAAAATATAAAACTGTTCACTTATCAACCCGATCGGCAGAAGCAGAGTTTGTATAGTTTTGTTGTTTCCGCATAAACATACAAATATAAAATTTATATTAAAGCAGTGTTTAAGAGCACTAACATTGCAACATGTACTCGTGCCGAAACCACTGTTTTCGGTGTTTCGAGACATAAGAAAACTAGGGATTAACTCTGGTTCTGCAACGGGGTTGCAGAACCCTAACCCTCAGCCTTGGCCAAAATTATTAGACATCCTTATAATCGTTATACTGTACTAAATCTAACACCAGACTGATTTCTATTGTTTAAAAGTTGTTTAAGAGCGTTCATTGCTTTTATGTAGTAAGCAACTTTCACTGTAACAATAAAAGCCTTCCCTGATATTAGATTCAGTACAGTATATGATTATGAAGGTGACTAATAATTTTGACTAAAACTGCAGCCTTATTATAATATTTTACTTGACAAGCGTCTCGCCCCAGTCCCATTATGATTCTACGGTCCTGCGGCCGTACAAACGTGCGCGGAAGTAAAAATCGCGACCACCCCCCTTTGATAGATGAAATATATAAAATAAAATATGTGAAATTACGTTGTAATTTATCCATTTTAAGGTAACGAATCTACAGAATGTATTAATCTACGGTCTACAATCTACGATATACAATACACGATCTGCGTTCTATGAGATATAGATTTGTTATCTCAATAAAGAAATTTGTCGCTCATTGACCCGATGAGCAGCAGCTGAGTTAGCTACGTTGATTCTGTAACATACAAATATAAAATTTGGTAAAGCAGTATTCAAGAAAATTAATATTGCAAAATATAAGTAATTCTTACGCGTAGGGTAAACAAATATTTATCTGAAAGTTGTTTTGTCGGCGCCCGACGTCTGTCCTAGGCCTCTTCCTCCACTCAGATTGTTCTCCGACATACTGACGGTCACGCAAATACGGTAATTCGCGCGATTCTACTCTCGATGAGTACCACGTTTTAGGTCCACGGGACGGGGTGTCCCATTATGATTAGGTAGATTCGTTAGCTCAATAAAAAAAACTGTTCACTTACCAACCCGATCGGCAGCAGCAGAGTTTGTACAGTTTTGTTGTTTCCGCATAAACATACAAATATACAATTTATATTAAAGCAGTGTTTAAGAGCACTAACATTGCAACATGTACTCGTGCCGAAACCACTGTTTTCGGTGTTTCGAGATATAAGAAAACTAGGGATTAACTCTGGTTCTGCAACGGGGTACTTAACCCTCAGCCTTGGCCAAAATTATTAGACATCCTTATAATCGTTATACTGTACTAAATCTAACACCAGACTGATTTCTATTGTTTAAAAGTTGTTTAAGAGCGTTCATTGCTTTTATGTAGTAAGCAACTTTCACTGTAACAATAAAAGCCTTCCCTGATATTAGATTCAGTGATTATGAAGGTGACTAATAATTTTGACTAAAACTGCAGCCTTATTATAATATTTTACCTGACAAGCGTCTCGCCTCAGTCCCATTATGATTCTACGGTCCTGCGGCCGTACAAACGTGCGCGTAGTAAAAATCGCGACCACCCCCCTTTGATAGATGAAATATATAAAATAAAATATGTGCACGTTTGTACGGCCGCAGGACCGTAGAATCATAATGGGACTGGGGCGAGACGCTTGTCAGGTAAGATATTATAAGGTTTTAGTCAAAATTATTAGTCACCTTCATAATCATATACTCTACTGAATCTAATATCAGGGAAGGCGTTTATTGTTACAGTGAAAGTTGCTTACTACATAAAAGCAACCGCTCTTAAACAACTTTTAAACAATAGAAATCAGTCTGGTGTTAGATTTAGTACAGTATAACGGCTTTTATTGTTACAGTGAAAGTTATTAAATACAATGAGCCATCGCTCATTGTCCCGATGAGCAGCAGCTGAGTTAGCTACGTTGATTCTGTAACATACAAATATAAAATTCGGTAAAGCAGTATTCAAGAAAATTAATATTGCAAAATACAGGGTGTCCCACTAAGACCGCCTATTTTGAATTTAGCACCATTTTGTTTGTGTCGGTCGTACAGCGTTGTTGTTGGACAGCTGTCATGTGTAAACATTGAGGTTAAGTCATGGAAAATTACACGGACGCACAACGCATAGAAATTGTGAAAATCCACTACCGAAATGGTGAGTTTTGCGGAGACGGTTCGAAAATGTCGTGGATTTTTCGGTCACCATAACGCACCTG